TTTTAGCTTGGAGGACTTATTACTTTGCTTATTGAGACTGCCATTGCTTCACTGACTTGCTTCTTTGATGGGAAGATTTGGGATAAGAACTTTGCCCTAGTTACTTAGGATCCTAGTTACTGGGAATGACTGGAATTATAATCGCCATTTTGTAATTACTAACTGCTAGCTCTGCTTCTGTAACTTGCTACTTTGCTAATCACTGAACTACCATTGACCACCTGAGAGTGCTCCTTCCTCCCCCATGGATCTTGACTTTCAATACCCTGAGCTATTTGACTTTATTGCTGTTCTTCACTGTCTTAGTAGGGAAGGGCAGTTGCCTGGCAAATAAAGATTCCTAGCCTGATTGACTGAGTGTTGGTGACTCCTTTCACCAATCATGGGTTCGAGTCCCACTGGCCCCAGGAAGTTGGGATACTTCAAACACAACTGCACAGGTAAAGCCAGGAAAATCCTGAACTTCTGAAGCTGAACTTCTCTGCCACCACCACAAAACCACAAGAAAGTAGAACTTTCTGATTTCAACTAATTGAAGCCCAGAAAAAGCTGAGACTGAGTTGTGATTTCACCAAAGTTTCTCAGCTTGTTTCTTCCTTTCTCAAAAAATTTTTTTGAGTGTATGTGTGGATAGTAGCTAGTAAAGATTCATTCCTATAAAATATAGGAACTGGGCAAGTAGGATCCTCACTACAGTTAGGATGGCTGTTATGCAAAAATTAGCACAATAGATGGCATCCAACCATTGCCTGTTAAGTGGGATATTTACTCCCTGTAATGGTATCTTCCATACAACAAATGGCAAAATGACACTGTTCTTTTATTCACCTGTTTAGTCAGGACTCCTGTCTTAGTTATTTTTTAATCCAGACATTTCCCTTGTCTTCCACTTGGCTTGCTTGTGATTGTAACTCTACTTGTTCAGATCTGCTGGGAAGGCAGGCTCCTGACTCTGAACTAAGCTATTTCCTTAGAACTTAAATGTAGGGCTTTATTTAGCCTGGATGAGCACTCAGGCTGGTCAAGATACCTTGGGCTTAACACCTGGGTTGATTTTTGGTTTGTTATTGGATTCATCTAGATGATTATCACTTCCATTTTTTAAAAAGAACATTACATAGGTCAGAGACAGGGAAGGATCTGCAGGATATACCACAAACCCCTTTCCATGTCCAGTACAGGACTGGCATGTGTGAGTTATAACTGTGGTGCATAGTGTTTTCCAGCCTGCAACTTGCACTCAGGTATGGTAGGTCTTTGATCTGGATCCCAAGTGCCCAGAGGGGTAGTGCACTTCCATGTTATCCATGTGGAAACATATATGGGGAGTAAAAGTCCTCAATGAAATCAAGAGTAACTACATCTAGTCATAGAGCTGTAATGGGGGGAAAAAAACCTATCTTTTTTGAGTAGTAATATCACAATGTGTCTTCTCTCTTTATGAGTTTACAAAGAACATAAAACCCTATAGTTATAGCTGGGCATCTGTGGCTCATGCCTGGCATCCTAGCTACTCAGGAGGTTGAGATTTGAGGATCACGGTTCAAAGGCTGACTGGGCAGGAAAATCCATAAGTCACCAGAAAAATGGAAATGGAGCTGTGGCTCAAAGTGATAGAGCACTAGCCTTGAGCAGAAAAGCTCAGGGACAAGTGCCAGGCCACCAGTTCAAGCCCCATGACTGACAAGCAACAATAAACCGCCCCTATTGTTATAATTACATTAAATTTTTTTTTCTGGAAGTGGAGCTGTGGCTCAAGTAGTAGCCCTCCAGTCTTGAGTGAAAAAAGGCAAGCGGAGCTCACGACCCTGAGTTCAAATTCTAGAACAGACACACACAGACATACGCTAGGCCTTGGGGAAGGCAGTACATTAATTTACATCTTTTAGTACTTTTGAGAAGTCAGAGACTCCTCTCATCCATTAAAAGAAAAAAAAGAAGAGAATAGTGTTTTTTGTGCTGGCCCTGGGGCTTGAACTCTGTGCCTGAGCTTTGTGCCTAAGGCTAACCCTCTACCACATGAGCCACAGCTGCACTTCCAGCTTTTTGGTGGTGAGGCCTCACACGTTCCTGCTCTGGTTGGCGATGAAAGGCGATCCTTCCATCTCAGCCTCTGGAGCGGCTAGATGACAGGCGCCAGCACCATCGCCTGCAACACGAGTTTTGTCCAGAAAGAATTTTCATTCTGCCTTGACTGCAGAAACAGACCTGAATCTACGTGTGGGTGTGAACGTGAGCAGGTGTAACCACTTAAATTCCTTAAACAATTACCTTTAAATTCAAAGGGGTTTCGGCTCAACAAGTCAGGTTGTGAGTTCAGTGCGTCTCAACCGACGTCA